TCACTTCCTGAGATTTGGCCTCCAGCTCAGCTTTGACGTTGTTCAGCTCAGCTCTGAGTCTGTCCTCCTGCGAGTTTTTATTGCGTATACTGTCTGCATGAGATTCATTATTTGCTCAAGCCTGTCAGGTCCCCATCCTGTCCCGCCTGCAAAGTTTTTAAAATGTTTAAATGAAAATTTTTTAATGTAGCTTTAATAGGAAAACAGACCAATAACTACTGGTCTTGGAATAACATTGGTAATTGATAGCCAAATGAAAAGATTCGATCTTGCTTATCACCAGTAACCTTCAGATTTCATGAGCCTTGTAACTACTAAGTTACTATACACATTAATTAGTGATTTAGGTTATTTTCAATTAATTCCTCCCTGCATTGAGTGGTAATAAAAAAAAATCATAAACTCTAAGGGATATAGGAGAGGAAGGTAATTCTCAAAATTACAACAAAAACTATTTTTTATTTAATGTTTACTACAAATACCAGGATTTATCTTTGCTATACATTTTCTTATTGTCTTATTATTCAAAATTAGCCTAATTAATAAAATAGTGACAACATTACAGTTAAAATTCAACAACAGGTAATATGTGAAACAATGTTTAAACCAATTTTTTATTTTTGATGATATTGAGGTTGTCTTGCATTTGACAATAGTACATCTCAGCAAGCCTCAATTGGAGTCCTTAAGCTGTTGGTGAATGAGGGTTTTTCACTTGTACCCTCTTCATAGTCTATCCCCGATAATTCATACACAGCTTTAATGATTGTATCGAATTTTGAACACACGAAAATGTATTCAAGGTTTGATACGATTGGGTCAATACTTTTAACAGCTAACAGCAAATTGGGTCTCGCACTCCTGTTCTTTAATAGTCCAATTTTCCCGTGTCACCTTTACTCCCCGGAAGCCTCTCACCTGCAAATTGGAGAATTAACTTATCCCCTATGGTAGTTTTGCCCACTTCATTTAAATTCATTGTCCTGAGTATGAGGTTTTTTGCCTTTTCTATGTTTTCGTTAATTTCTGTTGATGGTTGAGGAGGTATTGTGTAGTGATGTCGGCTGCTGGCGGTGTTCTGCTTAACATGATCGTCTAGAGGCCTTTGTTTGCAACTTTTTTAGTGATGCCGGAAGTAATCAGCACTATAGCCTCCTTTGCAAAAGTCGCAAATAACCATGACATCTAGTTCTTTTTTTGATTGTTTTGGTGGCAATTTGGTACCATCCCTCTTCATATGATGAAGACTCCGAAGCTTCCTCAGTCCATCCGTGATTTTTTGAACTTCCCTCCGCTTCGCTCCACTGTCAGTTAGCCGTACAAGGCTCCTCACTGCCTGTTGAGAGGAGTGGTGGGTCTTCCAAGTGGTGAGCAAGGTTTCTGCCATTCCACTATCTATGCCCACAAAATTGGCAAACTGTTGTACCCCATTAGTGGTGTCGGACGTCTTCTGCAAACGTATATTATTAATAGGTAATAAACAAATATTATCTAGGCCTGAGGGTACAGGTCACAATGATCAGATAGCGTTTATTGATAATTGTATTGATAATAGATCGAAGCAAACTAACAAACATTTTAACTAACTTACCTGTTTCGTAACTAGTTGAGGTTTTGCAGTGTTTGTTTTTTTTTTTTGTCTTGGTGTATTTGTTCTTCTTATTTTTTTGCCACTTCGAAGTGCCATTGGCTGAAATGAAAGTTAGGGTAAATTTTGTGTACTGCAGCACTAAAATGAGTTAAAATAGACAATTTGGAATTGAAAATATTTTTAAACATCTCCTATTTATCTATATTATTAATACCCTACAAGGAACTTTTGGGAACAATAAGGCTTTTAACGAATTTCCCATATATCTCTTTTGACTAACGTACCACCTACCAAACATGTATACCACCAATACAAAGCGACAAAGAAAGGTAATATGGTGTTTTTGTAAACAGAACTATCTTTAATATAATATATATATTTTATGTGAAATAACAGAATGTTATGATGTTGTATGAAGAGTCACTTTGATCATTTGTATTTTTAATTTCTGGAGCTAGATATGAAGAAAATATTTTTTTTGTAAACATTTCCATTATTTCCAAGTTTGAGTTTTGGGTGAATACTATTCTACTATTCTATACAATACTATGGATGGATATTTCAACACAAAACTCAAACTAGAAAATGTTGAGGGAGACAAAACTTTTTCCATATAGGGGTACTATTTTTGTGGGGGAAAGTAAAAAGTGGCTCTGAAATTTATACTTAGTAAAATATAACAGCATAGTTTTGTGTAATGTACGTACCAAAATGTCTTTGGGGGTGGGAGGGGTTGGTTTCTTGCCCCAACCAACTAAGCGAACTGTAGTAAGGACCAGCGTCCGAGGGACTTCCCTCTCCTAGCCTGGGCTCTCCGTTCCTCCCTGCAAACATGCCACACTTAAAACAGAATCGGTTACTAAGAGACAAAGAACATACAGCACTGGGTTCAGGATACATTTTGTGTAATTTCCAGTACTCGTTGAATGAGCGATTTTGCAAATTGACATTGGGAAATTGTAAAATGTTGGAGATTCTTTAGCTGATATAACTTTGAATTCAATTTCGCATAGGATTTGACATTTTTGGGGATTTATGTATTGTGTACCGTACTATCCATCTTAAAAGTTTAAGTTTTGTTTTTATAAAAAAAAATATAATTACTTACCGGTACTACTTACATCACCGGTGGGTGATGTACGGACTATTCACTGTGAACAATTCAGTTATACATTCCGGTCAAAAGACACAACAGGCTGTAACCTTAACTGGGTTAAATTGCCTCTTAATGTTTCTATATCTTTATCTGTAAAAATTTCAATTTAAGTTAATACTTGATTATCTCAATAATAAATACCTAACTAATGTATAAGAAATTAAAGTATAAAAAACAATATAAATACAAAATCAATACAAATAAAAAATAAATAAAAATATAAAATAACATATAAAATATAAATAATTATAATAACTAAACCAATTCGTAAATTAAAAGGAAAAAACATGTGGCTCGAATTCAGTTGAAACTTTGTTGCCATTGACTGTATATCTAAGGAACATTACGTCCTCAGTCAGCACTCCTCGTCCCTGCACATGGGATCACGCTTCACTTTGCGTTTACTCGGGTGCAGGTACGAGGGCATGATTCAAATGTGTTTGTACTAGAACGTTATCCACAAATATTTAACAATCTCTTGTCTGACATGACTAGATACACTATATGTTTCTAGGTTACTTACTCTTCTACGGATGTTCAAGTTGCATTTTGCGCACACTCGATATTTTTCCCCGTCTGCACTATTTTCTTCAACACAAAACTGGCCGTCTGAATCTTTGTACAACCATTTTTTTTTTAATTTAGGTTAATTGTTGTGTTGCAGTTATTGCATTTTTCCTGTGAAACAGAAGCTAAATCTTTATTTTGAAGTGGAGTGAAACATAATATAGTTGTAGATAAAATAATCACACAAAACATAGAACACGTGAAATTTGTTTTAAAAATAAATGAGTTTGGAAAAAGAAAAGTTATTGGGTAATGTATAATTTAGTAACCTTAACTGGGCTAAATTGCCTCTTAATGTTTCTATATCTTTATCTGTAAAAATTTCAATTTAAGTTAATACTTGATAATCTCAATAATAAATACCTAACTAATGTATAAGAAATTAAAATATAAAATACAATATAAATACAAAATCAATACAAATAAAAAATAAAAAAATATATAAAATAACATATAAAATATAAATAATTATAATAACTAAACCAATTCGTAAATTAAAAGGAAAAAACATGTGGCTCGGATTCAGTCGAAACTTCGTTGCCATTGACTGTATATCTAAGGAACGTTACGTCCTCAGTCAGCACTCCTCGTCCCTGCACATGGGATCACGCCTCCCTTTGCGTTTACTCAGGTGCAGGTACGAGGGCATGATTCAAAAGTGTTTGTACTAGAACGTTATCCACAAATATTTAACGATCTCTTGCCTTACATGACTAGATACACTATATGTTTCTAGGTTACTTACTATTTTCCGAATGTTTGTATTGCATTTTCTACAAACTCTGTATTTTTTTCCGTCTATGCTATCATTTTGAATGCAGAACATTGCCTCTTCATTTTTATACAGCCATCTTTTTTTCTCTCTTGATTTTATTTCAAATTATTTCCTCATTAAATTTAGTTTTAAAAATACATTATTGGTTTAAATTGTGTATTTTATAATCCAATCAAAATTGCAGTCTTGAGAAAATATTTTTGTTCACTAATGTGTATTTTTATCATATTTAAGTATTCAAACAGATCAGAAGGAATTATTAAAAAAAAAAATAGCAAACCGGCCATTGGTGACCTGCATGTTCATAGGATACACTACCAACCACTTAGCTAAAAGATTCACCCAATCCGATGATTTCGAGGTGTATGTCTAAACCAAGGATTATGAACACCTCACTATGCCCCAGTGGTTGTAGTATATCGCTACAAACACACAGATCGCCAATTATTTGCCACACAGGACGGGATTCGAACCCGAGCAGACGAATGCCACTGGCCAAGTGACACACGCCCTAGCCTTCTCGGCTATCTGTGCTTGAAGACTGAGTCAAAAACCGGTATTTAAGCTGACGCCACTGATTGCGAACAGATAGCGCTACAGATGGTTGTTCAATGCGTTACTAGGTAGCAGCACTAGTTAGTCACGAACTATTTAGATGATATTTTTCAGTTTATATTGTGTTCCTGAGATTTTGCTGCAAAACATTATTTTCCCTAAAATGGCTTTATTATGACAACCTCGTCCAACTAAATCAAAGTTAAATTCAATATTACACAGTAAACTATATGTCTTTTGATTTTATGAGATTTTGGTTTCAAACAATGCTATCAGAACATAAAAATGTATAGGAAAACCAGGAAAATTACAACAAAAACTAAGTTTTATTTCATGTTTACTACAAATACGAGGATTTATCTTTGCTAAACATTTTCTTATCGTCTTATTATTCAAAATTAGCCTAATTAATAAAATAGTGACAACATTACAGTTAAAATTCAACAACAGGTAATATGTGGAACAATGTTTAAATCCACTTTTTGTTTTTGATGTTTGTAAATAAATACTTGTAAATTGTCTCTAGCTACGCTTATTTTAAAAACAAGTTTTAGTATTATTTATGACTGGATAGCGTAATATGTATCAGTTATTAATGTGACATTCACAGGTTCTTCCAAGGACGAAGTTCTAGCCACGGGTTCGGTAGTGGGAGGTTCTAAAGTGCTCTTCTCCAAAGTGTTCTTCTCTTCTACAGTGGGGAGTTTGACTCCACCCTGCAGTAAAGATAATTAGTTTCTAATTTACTACAAAAAACTCTAAAATATAAATCAGAATATAAATCCGGAGCCTAAGCTGAGTAGGTGTGGTCCTTCAATTGTTGAATCCTTCGTTTAAGACCACTCAAACTTCAGCAGAGACTATGGGGAGATTTGGAAATTGGGACCGATACAAAAAAAGTCTACCGAAATCTGATATAATATAGTTAACATGGTGTCAGAATAACTTGTGAGAATGGATTGTAAACCTGCACCTCTTGATTTGAGCAATACTACTACCAGCTTAAATTAGATTCAATTATATTCATCCTAAATTAAAGTATACTACCTAATTGGCTACATGGTAGGGGTATAAGTTACTTACCCCATTGTGGTTCATTTGCCATTGATGACAAGCATGTCATTTTTGGCCCCACCACCTAGTTGTTGTTGTGGTGGTGCAGTTGATACATATTTCTTGTAACAGAAGTTAAGTCTGTAATGAAAAATAACATAGGCTAGTGGTGGATATGACCTTTGAAATTAGTCCATTCATTGCGTAGTGGACGTTCAACAAAATTGTTTCAAAAGGTTTCTCAACAGATTTCATTACTTTTATACCTCCACACAGCACAAAAAAGTCTACCGAAATCTGACTTGGGGAAGTTCCTGATATAAGGTTATTTAAATTAGAATAATAATTGCTCCCTGAAAAAAATGTTTAAACACTTTATTGCTAGATGTAGGGTGTAGTATATCGTTTTTAATGTTTACGAGGGTGGGGAAACTAAATCTGCAACTTGAAATGAGATTTGACCTCACAAAACGCAATGGAAACGATAGTACGATGGTAACGATAGTAGTATGCTAGTAAGGAAAAGACCATAGTCTCAAATTTGAACTTTCACTTTGGCTAAAAAACAAATTACATTGCTCTAAATCAAATCGAAGATTACTAAGATTGCTTAAATAAATAATTTGAACATCCTAGTATTTTACTATGAATATTTAATTAATCTGTCATCCTCTTACAGTTGAATTGAACGTATCAATGATTAGCATTACACATAGTATAAATAAGTCAACCCTAAGTATGTCTTTACGTTTTTATCCAAATGCTGAATTTGTGACACAAAAGCTGAATGTTTACAGTTGTTATGTTAAGCAAAGTATTTTATGCCAAAAGCTAGTTTAGAATCTTAGCGCCGGCTGCTAGACTTTGTCAGACTTTGAGCCAACCACCCACTAATGGTTTTTTTTTCTATCGGGCTCCCCTTCCAAATTAGCTGTGCAGATTCTAAAACAAATTCTTAAGAATTATTATCTTAGTGCAAGGACAAGGTAGCTAAAGTTCCATAGTTTTTTATTAAGGAACTAAAGAAGCTAAAAATTATTTTATGATCACTGCTGTTTAAAACCCTATATAAAAAACTAATCAAGAAAAATATTTAAACATTTTCAAATCTACTAAATCCATGGCAACGATGAGAAACCATCTAAATGAGGTTTTATTAACATGTCTCACTCATTACACACAGGCCCATCTAGGAGGCTAACCGTCTCCTTTAAATCCGCCCAACAGTTTTACTTACCCCACGGTGATGTTTGGGCCACAAAAAGCAGGCGTTACACATAGTTTTATTATTCCTCCATCTACTGGTCTTGTCCGTTCCGCAGTTATTACAGGTAATCTGTAGCCACATGTAACAGAAGTTAAGTCTGTAGTGAAAAATAATATAGGCTAGTGGTGGATATGACCTTTGAAATTAGTCGGTCAATGAGTAGAGGAGGTTCAACAAAATTGTTTCAAAATGTTTCTCAACAGATCTCATTACTAAACTAATAAACTAAACTAAACTAATATTTTTGTTCACTAATGTGTATTTTTATCATATTTACGTATTCAAACAGATCAGAAGGAATTATTTTAAAAAAAATAGCAAAACGACCATTGGTGACCTGCATGTTCATAGGATACACTACCAACCACTTAGCTAAAAGATTCGCCCAATCCGGGCTAGGTAGCAGCACCAGCTACTCAGGGACTATTTAGATTTTATTTTTTTAAACTTACATTAAGTTACTGTGTTAAAAAAAACTTAATTCACGCTATGCAACGGAACTAGACTGACGATTTAAAAAATTACACCAAACTTGATCGAAGCAACAATCATCAGTGTAAGTTCAAAGGAGAAATAGTCTTAATCCCAAGAATACCGATTTCATCTGAAATACCTTCTGAATTCAAGCGACTACAATTTCCTTTGCGTCTTGCTTTCGCAATGACCATTAATAAGGCACAAGGGCAATCCCTGACTATCGCTGGTTTAAATTTAGAAAATGCATGCTTTTCACACGGACAGCTGTATGTTGCGTGCTCACGTCTTGGTACGCCTAAAAACTTATATATTTATACACCTAATGAAAAAAAATCATAGTTTATCCACTGGCATTAAAGTAAAATAAATATTCTATACTTGTTCTTAGTATACTTTTTTTATTATTTATCGTAAACAACAAATTACCATTTAAAAATATAGTTATTAAGCACAGCAACTCGCACCGGGTAACTGCTAGTAACCTATAAAGTATTTAAAAATATACTTTACTGTTGATGTCGAAAAGCCTAATTCTTTTTTCTTGGCCACTTTCCCCGAGCCATTCCTGGAGGCCTGCTCTCCTGGAACAAAACACATACGTCATTATGGTGATTTCAATTATTTTAAAATCAAATCACATGTGGCAGTAGGGGGGTCTATTATAGATGATGGTTATGAAATCATTTACTGCCAATCTCTACATAACCATTCACGAAGGAACGGTCAACAAACTTACTTGTAAACATACTAACTTGTAGATCATTAAATGGAATTCTTCATTTAAAGATTTAGTTTTATTTTAAAACAAGAAACGTCCCCCATGGTTGTTGTACGCCAAAAAGACAAAGTCCGAATCTGCTTAGATCCAACCGATTTGAACAAAAATATTAAACGTCGCCATCACCCACTTCAAACTTTAGAAGATTTATCATCTAGGTTAAATGGCTCAAGATTTTTCACACTCCTAGATTGCAGAGAATGATTTTGGCAAATTAAGGTTTCTGAGCGTACTTCTAAGTATTTAACTTTTTCCACGCGCGGATGATCCGCGTCGTGTGGCCCCGGCCTTACATTCGGGAACTAGTTCCACACGCGACGTGGCACGGGCAAACGTTTTGTCATGACTGGGGTTGTGGCTGGCCTTGCTGCCCCCCCCCCCCCCCAACCACATTATCAGAACAATGTCGATAGTATTTGTCTTTCTTTACTGACAATGAGAATCGCCGTCGTAGATTATATTTTAAAAAATATATTGAAAAATTCTAACTAATTTATTTCAACTACCTTGTATATACTAAAATATACTGGACAATTAAAGAAAAAAGTTAATAAACTTACTTAGACTGTCCATTTACAAGTCTCCTGGTAGCTGTTGCTTTGGTAGCTGTAGCTGTAGGTTTTGCTGTTTGGCTTGTAGGTTTAGGAGTTAGTTTAGGAAATATATTTAGTTAGCATTAATATATTTTATTATTTGTTTTCAATTTGCATGTTGAATTAATTATAAACACTTAAAAATTTGAAATTAGAGAGCCAAGCAAATAAATGTGAATCATTAAAAGTTGTGAATTATCTATTGGGTTGTATCTATTGGGAGAAAAATAAACAATTTGAATAACAGAGTTAATTTTTAAACAGGTAAGGTTCTTTTTGAAATTTTGAATGATGCCTTAGTCAAGAAGCAACAACTTTGACATAAATATGGCAAAAAAATTTAGTTTCAGGTTAGATAAATAAAGAGATTTTTGTGGACCAAACATTCGTCAAGAAACAGGATACTTGTACGATTTTGAGTTCATATCCTTATTTAATAATACTAGCCACCCATTAAACAAATCAGTTGTCATTCAAGCTTTTTTTTGTTTTGATCGATATGTTATTGGGAATGACTTTAAAACAATTGGGGGTTAGCGGTTTTTCCAACGGGAAAACACTGCCAACCAGACGATGTAATTACAGCTCTAACTTAACACCAAAGTTACTGTGCCTAACAGGAAGTATAGTTTCCTGTTATAACTGAAATGAATCTATAAATTTACCTCCGTCCCTTCAAAGGAATTATAGAGTTCTGCGGACAAAAATGTGAAATAGGCTACTGTGTGTTCCTAATTGACCTGCATTGTGTTGGTATCAAAATGCATGGTAAAACTGAAATATCAAGTGACTCTAGGCAAGGGGCTGAGCTTTTATTTAAAATGTAATAATTCAAAAATCCTAAATGTAATCATACACTATTGTTGTTATTCTCCTCACCTGTACATTTGAAGCAGTCGATGTGGAAAATCATGTTTTTCACCATCAGCTCCTCCCCAAAATATCTCGTCTTACACCCAAAACAATACCTCCTCGCACAACTCGTCTTAACTGCAGACAACACACACACACACCACTTAGACATAATCAATCTTATCTCAGTAAATAAATCAGCACTTATCACGTAACTTGTATCCAAAAAATATTCTCTCAAAGACATCTCAAACGTTAATGCAAACTTACGTGCACGTGTGCGTGTTGGGTTATTGTGTATAAAACACAAGCACTAACCCAACACAAAAATAATAATGGATGTTGGAATCAGACTGCTGTACTGGGTTTCATACAGGTTCATACAGTATCACTGTCACAACTTATACATATCTTTCACATTAATAATAATGCAAAAATATAACTGTTTATCTTTACAAGCCAAAACACGGGCTAAGTGCACATTCATATCAAATGTTGAATTTGATCATGTTCTACCAATTAGTGATGGTTAATATGATTGATTTTTTTATTTGAACTATGCAACACTTCAATATTTTCACTGTTATTTATTATAGAATAATTCAACTTCATCATATGTTTTTCTTTTTATTAATATGTCAATCCATCTCCCTTTTCAAACCATATATAATAATTAATTGTCCATACAGACCAATAGGTAATAAATATAATATATCAATATAATATACAATATAATATAGAAAACTTTCAAATAAGGGGAGATTTTCAATAGGTATTTTTCTTAATTGACCAGTATTTTCAGATTGCGCAACTGGTTTGCAACGACAGTTGTAAAACAGTCACACCGTGTGCGCTGGGCCTAAGTGTCATGATTACCAGCTTTACATGACAAAATACACTAAATGTTTCTAGGTTACTTACCCCATTTGAGTAAAGGTACATGTGACACGCGTTGCATAATGGCATGAAAGAATATCTCGGGTGTTTAATTGCTATGTTACAAGTTGGATTGAAACATAGCACATTCATATCTTGAACCTGTAAAACAGAAGTGATGTACAGATTATTCACTGTAAACAATTCAGTTATACATTACAGTCAAAAGGCATAAGAGGCTGTAACATTAACTGGCTTAAATTACCTCTTAAAATTTCTATATAATATGTGGTACTTTGTATGTATGGAACTAGACTGCGAGAGAGAAAGATGTTGAAATCATCGAACAAATTTGCAGACACGTGAAATTTTTTTCTTAAAATAAATGAGTATGAAAAAAGAAAAGTTATTGGATAATGTATAATTTAGTCATTTTGTTACCAACAATCAATGCCGTATTTAAGGTACATGCGACCGTAGGCCAAATTACTTAAGCGGCCCCCATCCCTGTGGTTGAAATTCCCTACGATAGCTGTGAAATAATGAAAATGTCCCACGATCATCGTCACCAGCAATTGTGTATGAAATTGTGTACATCTCAACATTTTCCTTGGGCTACAATTCCGGGTAAATCATCATTGACACCCTTGATCGCGAAGAAATCGTGAACACTGCTTTCCCTAAAACAAGGGAATATCGTCATCGACACTTGCGACCATAGCGAAATCGTGAACATCTCCCTCGGGCTGCATTTACGGGGAAATCATCACCGAGACTCAGGACTGAGGCAAAATCATGAATGATATATTTTCAATATAGTGTCAATTAATAATATTCTATCCTCCTATATTTTAATACCAGCTGATTGGTTAATTATTTATTGTTTTTCTGTTGTGAGTCGTTGTACAATTTAATGTTTTGTTTTAGTGTTTGTTATGAACACATAAAGCTATAGTTGTTACCATAGCAACCCAAATGTTTATTATGCAATGCTGTTTATTTTCTATTCTGAATTTAATACAACATTAATACAACATTTTCTATTCCGATCAGAAGGTGGGTGATGTACGGACTATTCACTGTGAACAATTCAGTTATACATTCCGGTCAAAAGACACAACAGGCTGTAACCTTAACTGGGTTAAATTGTCTCTTAATGTTTCTATATCTTTATCTGTAAAAATTTCAATTTAAGTTAATACTTGATAATCTCAATAATAAATACCTAACTAATGTATAAGAAATTAAAATATAAAATACAATATAAATATAAAATAAATACAAATAAAAAATTAATAGAAATATAAAATAACATATAAAATATAAGTAATTATAATAACTAAACCAATTCGTAAATTAAAAGGAAATAAAACATGTGGCTAGGATTCAGTCGAAACTTCGTTGCCATTGACTGTATATCTAAGGAACATTACGTCCTCAGTCAGCACTCCTCGTCCCTGCACATGGGATCACGCTTCCCTTTGCGTTTACTCGGGTGCAGGTACGAGGGCATGATTCAAATGTGTTTGTACTAGAACGTTATCCACAAATATTTAACAATCTCTTGTCTTACATGACTAGATACACTATATGTTTCTAGGTTACTTACTCTTCTACGGATGTTCAAGTTGCATTTTGCGCACACTCGATATTTTTCCCCGTCTGCACTATTTTCTTCAACACAAAACTGGCCGTCTGAATCTTTGTACAACCATTTTTTTTTTAATTTAGGTTAATTGTTGTGTTGCAGTTATTGCATTTTTTCTGTGAAACAGAAGCTAAATCTTTATTTTGAAGTGGAGTGAAACATAATATAGTTGTAGATAAAATAATCACACAAAACATAGAACACGTGAAATTTGTTTTAAAAATAAATGAGTTTGAAAAAAGAAAAGTTATTGGGTAATGTATCATTTAGTAATTTTGTTGCCAACAATTATACCACTTTTAGACTATTAGGCTATGAGTATTTCAATTAAGTGTTCAGAGAAGCTGATGCATTAATCCGGACTCAAGGAATTGTTTTTCTATTATAGTGACTGACTGTGAACTTAAATTATTTTGTTTAAGGCCTACAGCTAAAATTATAATACAGGTATTATACAGGTTAACCTGTATTTACATAAATTCAAACGTAAAATCAACTTATATGTCTGTAGGCGTAGGGTTTACCTTGTTTTTGCACCCGGCGTCATCACAGGAACAGTTCTCTGTGCATAACCTTCGCAATTTGCGGCATCTGCAATTTTCTTGGTGCAATCCAGATTGCATCTACATAAGCAAGGTCGCTTTCTGTTTCGTCGCAATGCCAACTCTTTCTTAAATAATCATAGAACCAGTTTTAGGACCTTCTATAAACTTGTTTAGTTCAGGAATAGGCCCCTGAATATGTGGTTTGACCTAGAAATAATTAGAACACAGATGAAACCATTGTTGTTCGATAGTGAAAATTATTGTGAATAACATATCAAAAGTCTCCAAAAATATCTTTGGTGGAACACCACCATTTTTCCAAAATGGCGGCCAAATCCAGTAGTTTTTTGCTTTTTATTGAAATTCTGACTTTCCAGTCAATATTGGTGAAAAGCCGTCAATACATTTAATGTTCCTCCTGAAATTATCTTTAAAATGATACCAAATACATGTACCTACAAAAAAAATAAACCCCGTAGAAATAATAAAATATTTAAAATAAAAATATTTTTTATAAATTAATGTAATAGTCCAAGCAAACTAAAAAAAACCAGACACAGGGATCGTATAAAAATTTGCAAGTAAACATTTTATGGTTTCATTTTTATTGTTGTGGTGTGCAGAGTGACATACCAAAAGTTACAAAAATCAGTCCACGGGAAACCCCTAAATTAAGGAAAAAATGGCGGCTTTTCCCAATGTAAAACAAATTTTGCAACAAAAGAGACCACATGTTTTTTGCACATTTTTCGAGATATTGACTTGGAACCACGACCGATATTTATTGGATGGTCCGTACTTAATTTCAATAGGGGACGCTTTTTGGGCCGCCATCTTGGATCAGCCATATTGGATCTGCCATATTGGATATAAATATTTTTTAATGTAACCATAGTGTTGTGACACATCATTATGAACTAGATTTCCTTGCTGATTTCAATGCTGAAATCCGTTTTTAAATAAGTTTTTTTCGTTGCTTAAGATATATTAAAACGAAAACTCTCCCCTATACATCAGTTATGGACGTATCGTAAGTTACTTTGAAAATGCGTTTGGATTATTTTTCTCCAGGTATTATTATTGCTTGCAGTTCGTTCTAGCCTTAAAATATTCAGTGATAAAAGATCTTTCATTTTAGTTAGCTTTCATTTTGTTTTATTCATAGTTAAAACAGACTAGTTATAGACGAGGTACAAACCCCAACACAAAATTAAATTAAACTTGTTTTACTGTATTGATCAGCTTGTGGGCTTCACTCACCTTAATTTGTTAATCCAGGACTCGTCAAATGTAACACAACGAAGACACACAACACACACGCACATACACGCACATAAAAATCGTCCTTGGATTTACTCCAAGGATTTATGTGCGTGTATGTGTGTGTTGTGTGTCTTCGTTGTGTTACATTTGACGAGTCCTGGATTAACAAATTAAGGTGAGTGAAGCCCACAAGCTGATCAATACAGTATAATAAACCTCGCCTAAAAACATGTCTTTCAAAAATAAACTTTTTTTATCAGTTTTTGTTAAAAGATTTATATCTCGGGTTGTTAATATGTTAACAAGTTCATTCTAGTATCAAAGTACTCAGTAAATGTTTGGCTTTAATTTTATTAATTATTAAATGACACATGACAAATTTAAAACGAATCATGTAGGCCTACCTTCAATGAACTATTGAATGAATTATTATTATTTTGAAATTTGTCTTTAGTTAAAGACATTTATCCCCAATTCTAAATAACTCCCAATAAGGAATCCATAGCTAAAATAAAAGCCAATACTTGAACGAACAGCTATGAAGAGTTTTTCCCGTTTTCACTCTGCACAACACTACAAAATAAAACCATAAAACGTTTTGTTGAAATTTTTTAAAGGCCATATCCTATATTTATCAAAATATAATTTCCAAGTTACACAGTTACAGTTATTTATAAGTACAGTTATTTATAAGTAAGTTAGTCATATGTACCATCAGTCAAACACCACTCCCAATCTGTTGGATCTGCTGGTGAACTATTTCCACGCCATACTTGAACCTGATAGTACAACCTTAGACTGTGGTAGTTTTCAATGTGTTTTTAAATTGTCAAAGTACGAAACGTCCATAAGAATTGTATGGGGAGAGTTTTCGTTTTTATATATATCTTAAAATCGTAAAACGCTATTTAAAAAACTGATTTCAGCATTGAATTCAGCATGGAACTCTAGTTCATAATGATGTGTCACAACACTATAATTACATTAAAAAATATTTATATCCAATATGGCAGATCCAATATGGCTGATCCAAGATGGCGGCCCAAAAAGCGTCCCCTGTTGAAATTAAGTACGGACTATCCAATAAATATCGGTCGTGGTTCCAAGTCAAAATCTCGAAAAATATGCAAAGAAACATGTGGTATCTTTTGTTGCAAAATTTGCCCAACATTGGGAAAAGCCGCCATTTTTTCCTTAATTTAGGGGTTTCCCGTGGACTGATTTTTTGCAATTTTGGTATGTCACTCTGCACACCACAACAATAAAAATAAAACCATAACATGTTTACTTGCAAATTTTTATACGATCCCTGTGTACATTATTTTTAGTTTGCTTGGACGATTACATTAATTTATAAAAAATATTTTTATTTGAAATATTTTATTATTTCTACGGGGTTTTTTTTTGTTGTAGGGACATGTATTTGGTATCATTTTAAAGGTAATTTCAGGAGGAACATTAAATGTATTGACGACTTTTCACCAATATTGACTGGAAAGTCAGAATTTCAATAAAAAGCAAAAAACTACTGGATTTGGCCGCCATTTTGGAAAAATAGTGGTGTTCCACCAAAGATATTTTTGGAGACTTTTGATATGTTATTCACAATACTTTTCACTATCGAACAACAATGGTTTCATCTGTGTTCTAATTATTTCTAGGTTTTGCTAATTATTTTCTTATTTTAAGGCGCCTAGAAAACCAATGTGTTGTACACATAATTGTGAAGTAACTAACAACACCAGATTAACAAACATCTAGCTCAAAAGTGGACGGAAATAAAATGTTATCATTTTGATAATATTTTAAAACTTATCATCACCTTCATCATCTTCCTCCTCTTCATAAAAATTCCCTTTTGATGTCCCTGGAGTGGCAAAAGCAACTTCCACTGGGTAGTCTTTTTCTAAGTCAAATCAAATAAATAAATAAAAAATAAATATTTCTTTATTGTCACATAACGTTTTGTACATGTGCATAGCTAAATTTAGTTAAATTATTTAGTTAGCGTTTAAATGGTTACTGGGTTTTTAACATTCAAATAACGCAAGGCGTATTTTGTTGAGGGAAGAGTTAATTCATGAGCAGAACACAATCTGTCTTGGGACGCCGACAGTAGTTTGATTTTTTGATGCAAGTTTGAGTGTGTGATTAGGAGAAGTTTTTGAAAGTTCAACAAAGTCTTCCCTATTTTTACACATATGAGAAGTACTACCAGAGTCGAGACACCAAATGTTGTCTTTGGGTTTACATTCTCCGGATAAAAGACAAAGTTCTTCTGTTTTGAAATATTTGTGATTGTATTTAGTTTTTGCCCAAAATGTTTCTGTTGAATGATTATTTCTCCCACATTTTTTACAGAAACCCTTTGAATTTTGATTAAAGTTTTTGTGCTTGCTGTTAACACTTTTAGAGAAAAATTCACCGTCAGTGCTTTGTTTTTCAACTCTATCTTTAGAGTGTGAATTTACTACTACTTTTTGCCTAGCTTCAAATTCTTCAAGTATTTTAATTTTAGCTTATCAGGTTTAGGAAGAGAATCTCGTGACTCTATTGCGACTCGAAAGTTCTCAAATAATGAATTAAGACTGTACAACATCATTATGGACAAAAGATAATCATTTATGACAATGTCTAATTCTAATAATTTATCAACAGCATCAGTAAATTCATCTAAGTGATTTCTTACATTATGTCCATCTTTCAATTTGTGTAGAATCAATTTCTTTAAAAGTGTTACCTTACGGGCAGGACCTTTAGATGCATAAATATTATTCAAAGTGTCCCAAATATCTTTTGAGGTGTTGCAGCTTTTTATATTTCTAAGCTCACCTGCAGAGATTAGTAGTATTAAATCTGATTTTGCTATCAAGTCTTGATTCAACCACCTTTTCTTCTTTTCAGGATCTGTATCATCAGGACATGGTTCTTCACCACAGACATATTTCAACAGATCTGATTTTATTAATATCGCTTGTGCCTGAATTCTCCAAGTATCATAGTTATTTTTGTTTAGAGGTTCAATTCGGTAATTTACAGTACTAGTCATTTTGTGAAAATGTTATGAGATGTTACAAGAACAAAACTTTACACTTCAACCTAGGCTGACTGATAAATTATTTAGATTGAAAAAGATTTAACTTGGGAATATATTAAATTCATGAGTCTAGAACCCTCTGGGCCCATAACCTAAAGGGGAGAGCATATTAAATGTGAAATTTACTCTAAAACTCATGAATATCAAACTAAATTTAGACAAAATAGAAAACTAGTGTTTAATTGAATCAAGGAAAAACACAAATGTAATAATCAAATATAAAAACATAAACATATGACTTAAATAAAATTAATAGTCACATGCTAGCTTATATGCAGATCATGAGTGAAAATCCAACAAAATCTACTCCAGACATAGGTAAAAATGAATCCCTAAACTTTGAGGTGGCAGCCAAATGATGGATTTTTGATAGGAGTACTCAATTCAATTTAAAACTTCTTTATTCGTTTCATGTACAGCAATACAATAAATAGCGTCACAGTTCCTTAATCTAACTCAGTACATTGCATTGAATTGTTCAGTTATGAAATTTACAGTTATGTAGCATCATCATTCACATCGATTAAATTGTACGGGATTTTGGTGTTACAGGCGGTGCAAACTACATAATTTTCCCCGTCTGCATTTTTTTGTATCCAGAATTGGCCGTCTGCATATTTTTGTAAGCATCTTTTGTTTGATTTTGTTTAATGTTCTTGTTGCAATTAGTGCATTTTTCCTGTGAAACAGAAGCTAAATTTAGTTTGGAAGTGGAGTGAAACATAATATAGTTTTAGATAAAATAATCACACAAAACATAGAACACGTGAAATTTGTTTTAAAAATAAATGAGTTTGGAAAAAGAAAAGTTATTGGGTAATGTATAATTTAGTAACCTTAACTGGGTAAAATTGCCTCTTAATGTTTCTATATCTTTATCTGTAAAAAATTTCAATTTAAGTTAATAATTGATAATCTCAATAATAAATACCTAACTAATGTATAAGAAATTGAAATATAAAATCAATAAAATAAAAAATAAATAGAAATATAAAATAAATACAAATATAAAATAACATATAAAATATAAATAATTATAATAACTAAACCAATTCGTAAATTAAAAAGAAAAAACATGTGGCTAGGATTCAGTCGAAACTTCGTTGCCATTGACTGTATATCTAAGGAACGTTACAGCCTCAGGTGCAGGTACGAGGGCATGATTCAAAAGTGTTTGTACTAGAATGTTATCCACAAATATTTAACGATCTCTTGTCTTACATGACTAGATACACTATATGTTTCTAGGTTACTTACTCTTCTACGGATGTTTAGGTTGCATTTGCTGCAAACTGGATATTGTTCCCCGTCTCCATTATCTTCTTTACATAACTGGCCGTCTGAATCTTTGTACAACCATTTTTTGTTTGATTTTAGATTAATTGTTTTGTTGCAGTTATTGCATCTTTCCTGTGAAACAGAAGCTAAATTTAGTTTGGAAGTGGAGTGAAACATAGTATAGTTGTAGATAAAATAATCAAACAAAACATAGAACACGTGAAATTTGTTTTAAAAATAAATGAGTTTGAAAAAAGAAAAGTTATTGGGTAATGTATAATTTAGTAACCTTAACTGGGTAAAATTGCCTCTCAATGTTTCTATATCTTTATCTGTAAAAAATTTCAATTTAAGTTAATACTTGATAATCTCAATAATAAATACCTAACTAATGTATAAGAAATTAAAATATAAAATACAATATAAATATAAAATAAATACAAATAAAAAATTAATAGAAATATAAAATAACATATAAAATATAAATAATTATAATAACTAAACCAATTCGTAAATTAAAAGGAAAAAACATGTGGCTCGGATTCAGTCGAAACTTCGTTGCCATTGACTGTATATCTAAGGAACATTACGTCCTCAGTCAGCACTCCTCGTCCCTGCACATGGGATCACGCCTCCCTTTGCGTTTACTCAGGTGCAGGTACGAGGGCATGATTCAAAAGTGTTTGTACTAGAACGTTATCCACAAATATTTAACGATCTCTTGTCTTACATGACTAGATACACTATATGTTTCTAGGTTACTTACTCTTCTACGGATGTTCAAGTTGCATTTTGCGCACACTCGATATTTTTCCCCGTCTGCACTTTTTTCTTCAACACAAAACTGGCCGTCTGAATCTTTGTACAACCATTTTTTGTTTGATTTTAGATTAATTGTTTTGTTGCAGTTATTGCATTTTTCCTGTGAAACAGAAGCTAAATCTTTATTTTGAAGTGGAGTGAGTCATAATATTGTTGTAGATAAAATAATCACACAAAACATAGAACACGTGAAATTTGTTTTAAAAATAAATGAGTTTGAAAAAAGAAAAGTTATTGGGTAATGTATCATTTAGTAATTTTGTTGCCAACAATTATACCACTTACTTTTAGACTTTTAGGCTATGAATATTTCAATTAAGTGTTCAGAGAAGCTGATGCATTAATCCGGACTCAAGGAATTGTTTTTCTATTATAGTGACCGACTGTGAACTTAAATTATTTTGTTTAAGGCCTACAGCTAAAATTATAATACTTGAACAAATTTGGAAATATAGTCTACTGGTAAGAGTAAGGAACTTTTTAACTAACTTAAATTGGAAAGTTATTGAATTGCATGTACAGGTTAACCTGTATTACATAAATTCAAACGTAAAATCAACTTATATGTCTGTAGGCGTAGGGTTTACCTTGTCTTTGCACCCGGCGTCATCACAGGAACAGTTCTCTGTCAATTTCTCTTTCGCTAATTAGTAAAATATTTTAATTCTCTACTTTAAAACCGCGCAACAGTTACTTACCCCACCGTGATTCTTGTAGTACTGATTGCACGCGTTGCATTCTGTGCCACCTTTCCACCATTTTGATGATGTCACAGTGTTACAGTTGTTACAGATTTTCTGCAGCCACATGTAACAAAAGTTAAGTCTGTAGTGAAAAATAATATAGGCTAGTGGTAGATGTGACCTTTGAAGTTAGTCCAGTCATTGAGTAGTGGAGATTCAACAAAATTGTTTCAAAAGGTTCTCAACAGATTTCATTACTTTTATACCTCCACACAACACAACCACTTTGAGCAGACTTTGAACAGACTTTGAGCCAACCACCCACTAATGGTTTTTTTCGAATACTTCTTTCGGGCTCCCCTTCCAAATTAGCTGTGCAGATTCTAATACAAATTATTAAGAATTATTATCTTAGTGCAAGGACAAGGTAGCTAAAGGTCCATAGTTCTTTATTAAGGAACTATAGAAGCTAAAATTATTTTATGATCACTGCTGTTTAAAACCCTATATAAAAAACCAATCAAGAAAAATATTTAAACATTTTCAAATCTACTAAATCCATGGCAACGATGAGAAACCATCTAAATGAGGTTTTATTAACATGTCTCACTCATTACACACGGGCCCATCTAGGAGGCTAACTGTCTCCTTTAAAACCGCCCAACAGTTTTACTTACCCCACGGTGATTATTCGGCCATTGAAAGCAGGCGTTGCACATTGTATTCTTTTTTCTCCATTTACTGGTCTGGTCAGTGCCACAGTTTTTACAAGTAATCTGTAGCCACATGTAACAGAAGTTAAGTCTGTAGTGTAAAATAATATAGGCTAGTGGGAGATATGACCTTTGAAATAAGTCCATTCATTGAGTAGTGGAGGTTCAACAAAATTGTTTCAAAAGGTTTCTCAACAGATTTCATGACTTTTATACCTCTACACAGCACAAAAAAGTCTACCGAAGTCTGACTTGGGGAAGTTCCTGATATTAGGTTATTTAAATTAGAATAATAATTGCTCCCAGAAAAAAAAATTGTTAAACACATTATTGCTAGATGTAGGGTGTAGTATATAGTTTTTAATGTTTACGAGGGTGGGGAAACTAAATCTGCAACTTAAATGAGATTTGACCTCACAAAATCCTACTACCGCATCAATGTTCCGTCAAATCAAATCAAATCATCTTTATTTTTGCACAGAAAAAAACTGTATAATAGCGTCACAAGAATATATAATAAAACTAAATTATAAATGCTGTTAGAACTAAAACGCAACTGAACAGTATCTTAATTCGATCGGCAACTTAAAAAATCTTTCACAGTGTAGGGAGCTTGTTCCAAGAGTATGCGTTTGACCGCTCTCCCAAATTTGTCTTTGTCTTGCTCCACTTTCAGGGGTTCAGGCAACACATTGAAAAACCTGATACTATTATAAAATAGGTGTCTCTCAAAGAAACTTGTCCTGTGCTTAGGTAGCTTAATATTGTTTTTTTGTCTGAGAGTGTACTGCATTGAATGGAACTGCGGTTGATACAGTTAATTTCCTTTTAAAAACGATAGACAACTGAGTATGTATATGGATGGAAATGTGAGAATATTGTATTCCTTGAAGAGAGGCTTGCAAGAAGTACGACGGGATATTCTGAAGGCTGCTCTAAGGGCTTTTTTCTGAAGACGGAAGACAAACTTTGTTCGTACGCTCTCACAGCCCTAAACTGCCACCAAATACGACAATAATGGGTAAATCAGTCCATAATAGGCACTCAAGGTTACACGAGAATCGGTAAACCTCGAAAGACCTCTGATCACAAAAATTCCTGTGCTAATTCTTCTTGATATGAGCTCTATATGGTCATGAAAGTTGAGCTATCTGTCTAAAACCAAACCAAGAAACTTAGCATTGCTGTAAGAAGAGATCTCTTCGTCACCTATCAAAACAGTCAGTGTGACTTGCTTTTTTGAGCTGTTAATATGGTATTGGAGCATTTTTGTTTTCTTGCAGTTTAGAAGAAGTTGGTTGTTTTGGAACCATTTGCAACAAAAAGTAAAAACAAAAACAACAAAAGTAAAACAAACTGCAATCAAAATATTAATAACGAAATTAGTATCCTACACCAAAATATCCAGCACCTACCCTCCAGACTAGACATGTTGTCTATCTTACTAGATGAAATTTCAGTGGATTTATTAGTACTGACAGAACATAAAATGAAAGAAAATGAAATAAATCGTTTGAATACAAAAAATATGACAGTTAAATCTTGTTATGCTCGAAAATTAACATGTGGAAGTAATGTATTAATTTTGGCCAGATCAGCACTTTATTTATTAATTTATTATTATTAGAAACATCGTCTTTAATTAATTGATTTTAGTGTAAAGTTCAATGAGGATATTTAGTAATCATTGCTTTGTCTGAAGAATGCATATATAAATTATTTCCTCATTAAATTTAGTTTTAAAAATACATTATTGGTTTAAATTGTGTATTTTATAATCCAATCAAAATTGCAGTCTTGAGAAAATATTTTTGTTCACTAATGTGTATTTTTATCATATTTAAGTATTCAAACAGATCAGAAGGAATTATTAAAAAAAAAATAGCAAACCGGCCATTGGTGACCTGCATGTTCATAGGATACACTACCAACCACTTAGCTAAAAGATTCGCCCAATCCGATGATTTCGAGGTGTATGTCTAAACCAAGGATTATGAACACCTCACTATGCCCCAGTGGTTGTAGTATATCGCTACAAACACACAGATCGCCAATTATTTGCCACACAGGACGGGATTCGAACCCGAGCAGACGAATGCCACTGGCCAAGTGACACACGCCCTAGCCTTCTCGGCTATCTGTGCTTGAAGACTGAGTCAAAAACCGGTATTTAAGCTGACGCCACTGATTGCGAACAGATAGCGCTACAGATGGTTGTTCAATGCGTTACTAGGTAGCAGCACTAGTTAGTCACGAACTATTTAGATGATATTTTTCAGTTTATATTGTGTTCCTGAGATTTTGCTGCAAAACATTATTTTCCCTAAAATGGCTTTATTATGACAACCTCGTCCAACTAAATCAAAGTTAAATTCAATATTACACAGTAAACTATATGTCTTTTGATTTTATGAGATTTTGGTTTCAAACAATGCTATCAGAACATAAAAATGTATAGGAAAACCAGGAAAATTACAACAAAAACTAAGTTTTATTTCATGTTTACTACAAATACGAGGATTTATCTTTGCTAAACATTTTCTTATCGTCTTATTATTCAAAATTAGCCTAATTAATAAAATAGTGACAACATTACAGTTAAAATTCAACAACAGGTAATATGTGGAACAATGTTTAAATCCACTTTTTGTTTTTGATGTTTGTAAATAAATACTTGTAAATTGTCTCTAGCTACGCTTATTTTAAAAACAAGTTTTAGTATTATTTATGACTGGATAGCGTAATATGTATCAGTTATTAATGTGACATTCACAGGTTCTTCCAAGGACGAAGTTCTAGCCACGGGTTCGGTAGTGGGAGGTTCTAAAGTGCTCTTCTCCAAAGTGTTCTTCTCTTCTACAGTGGGGAGTTTGACTCCACCCTGCAGTAAAGATAATTAGTTTCTAATTTACTACAAAAAACTCTAAAATATAAATCAGAATATAAATCCGGAGCCTAAGCTGAGTAGGTGTGGTCCTTCAATTGTTGAATCCTTCGTTTAAGACCACTCAAACTTCAGCAGAGACTATGGGGAGATTTGGAAATTGGGACCGATACAAAAAAAGTCTACCGAAATCTGATATAATATAGTTAACATGGTGTCAGAATAACTTGTGAGAATGGATTGTAAACCTGCACCTCTTGATTTGAGCAATACTACTACCAGCTTAAATTAGATTCAATTATATTCATCCTAAATTAAAGTATACTACCTAATTGGCTACATGGTAGGGGTATAAGTTACTTACCCCATTGTGGTTCATTTGCCATTGATGACAAGCATGTCATTTTTGGCCCCACCACCTAGTTGTTGTTGTGGTGGTGCAGTTGATACATATTTCTTGTAACAGAAGTTAAGTCTGTAATGAAAAATAACATAGGCTAGTGGTGGATATGACCTTTGAAATTAGTCCATTCATTGCGTAGTGGACGTTCAACAAAATTGTTTCAAAAGGTTTCTCAACAGATTTCATTACTTTTATACCTCCACACAGCACAAAAAAGTCTACCGAAATCTGACTTGGGGAAGTTCCTGATATAAGGTTATTTAAATTAGAATAATAATTGCTCCCTGAAAAAAATTTTTAAACACTTTATTGCTAGATGTAGGGTGTAGTATATCGTTTTTAATGTTTACGAGGGTGGGGAAACTAAATCTGCAACTTGAAATGAGATTTGACCTCACAAAACGCAATGGAAACGATAGTACGATGGTAACGATAGTAGTATGCTAGTAAGGAAAAGACCATAGTCTCAAATTTGAACTTTCACTTTGGCTAAAAAACAAATTACATTGCTCTAAATCAAATCGAAGATTACTAAGATTGCTTAAATAAATAATTTGAACATCCTAGTATTTTACTATGAATATTTAATTAATCTGTCATCCTCTTACAGTTGAATTGAACGTATCAATGATTAGCATTACACATAGTATAAATAAGTCAACCCTAAGTATGTCTTTACGTTTTTATCCAAATGCTGAATTTGTGACACAAAAGCTGAATGTTTACAGTTGTTATGTTAAGCAAAGTATTTTATGCCAAAAGCTAGTTTAGAATCTTAGCGCCGGCTGCTAGACTTTGTCAGACTTTGAGCCAACCACCCACTAATGGTTTTTTTTTCTATCGGGCTCCCCTTCCAAATTAGCTGTGCAGATTCTAAAACAAATTCTTAAGAATTATTATCTTAGTGCAAGGACAAGGTAGCTAAAGTTCCATAGTTTTTTATTAAGGAACTAAAGAAGCTAAAAATTATTTTATGATCACTGCTGTTTAAAACCCTATATAAAAAACTAATCAAGAAAAATATTTAAACATTTTCAAATCTACTAAATCCATGGCAACGATGAGAAACCATCTAAATGAGGTTTTATTAACATGTCTCACTCATTACACACAGGCCCATCTAGGAGGCTAACCGTCTCCTTTAAATCCGCCCAACAGTTTTACTTACCCCACGGTGATGTTTGGGCCACAAAAAGCAGGCGTTACACATAGTTTTATTATTCCTCCATCTACTGGTCTTGTCCGTTCCGCAGTTATTACAGGTAATCTGTAGCCACATGTAACAGAAGTTAAGTCTGTAGTGAAAAATAATATAGGCTAGTGGTGGATATGACCTTTGAAATTAGTCGGTCAATGAGTAGAGGAGGTTCAACAAAATTGTTTCAAAATGTTTCTCAACAGATCTCATTACTAAACTAATAAACTAAACTAAACTAATATTTTTGTTCACTAATGTGTATTTTTATCATATTTACGTATTCAAACAGATCAGAAGGAATTATTTTTAAAAAAATAGCAAAACGACCATTGGTGACCTGCATGTTCATAGGATACACTACCAACCACTTAGCTAAAAGATTCGCCCAATCCGGGCTAGGTAGCAGCACCAGCTACTCAGGGACTATTTAGATTTTATTTTTTTAAACTTACATTAAGTTACTGTGTTAAAAAAAACTTAATTCACGCTATGCAACGGAACTAGACTGACGATTTAAAAAATTACACCAAACTTGATCGAAGCAACAATCATCAGTGTAAGTTCAAAGGAGAAATAGTCTTAATCCCAAGAATACCGATTTCATCTGAAATACCTTCTGAATTCAAGCGACTACAATTTCCTTTGCGTCTTGCTTTCGCAATGACCATTAATAAGGCACAAGGGCAATCCCTGACTATCGCTGGTTTAAATTTAGAAAATGCATGCTTTTCACACGGACAGCTGTATGTTGCGTGCTCACGTCTTGGTACGCCTAAAAACTTATATATTTATACACCTAATGAAAAAAAATCATAGTTTATCCACTGGCATTAAAGTAAAATAAATATTCTATACTTGTTCTTAGTATACTTTTTTTATTATTTATCGTAAACAACAAATTACCATTTAAAAATATAGTTATTAAGCACAGCAACTCGCGCCGGGTAACTGCTAGTAACCTATAAAGTATTTAAAAATATACTTTACTGTTGATGTCGAAAAGCCTAATTCTTTTTTCTTGGCCACTTTCCCCGAGCCATTCCTGGAGGCCTGCTCTCCTGGAACAAAACACATACGTCATTATGGTGATTTCAATTATTTTAAAATCAAATCACATGTGGCAGTAGGGGGGTCTATTATAGATGATGGTTATGAAATCATTTACTGCCAATCTCTACATAACCATTCACGAAGGAACGGTCAACAAACTTACTTGTAAACATACTAACTTGTAAATCATTAAATGGAATTCTTCATTTAAAGATTTAGTTTTATTTTAAAACAAGAAACGTCCCCCATGGTTGTTGTACGCCAAAAAGACAAAGTCCGAATCTGCTTAGATCCAACCGATTTGAACAAAAATATTAAACGTCGCCATCACCCACTTCAAACTTTAGAAGATTTATCATCTAGGTTAAATGGCTCAAGATTTTTCACACTCCTAGATTGCAGAGAATGATTTTGGCAAATTAAGGTTTCTGAGCGTACTTCTAAGTATTTAACTTTTTCCACGCGCGGATGATCCGCGTCGTGTGGCCCCGGCCTTACATTCGGGAACTAGTTCCACACGCGACGTGGCACGGGCAAACGTTTTGTCATGACTGGGGTTGTGGCTGGCCTTGCTGCCCCCCCCCCCCCCCCCAACCACATTATCAGAACAATGTCGATAGTATTTGTCTTTCTTTACTGACAATGAGAATCGCCGTCGTAGATTATATTTTAAAAAATATATTGAAAAATTCTAACTAATTTATTTCAACTACCTTGTATATACTAAAATATACTGGACAATTAAAGAAAAAAGTTAATAAACTTACTTAGACTGTCCATTTACAAGTCTCCTGGTAGCTGTTGCTTTGGTAGCTGTAGCTGTAGGTTTTGCTGTTTGGCTTGTAGGTTTAGGAGTTAGTTTAGGAAATATATTTAGTTAGCATTAATATATTTTATTATTTGTTTTCAATTTGCATGTTGAATTAATTATAAACACTTAAAAATTTGAAATTAGAGAGCCAAGCAAATAAATGTGAATCATTAAAAGTTGTGAATTATCTATTGGGTTGTATCTATTGGGAGAAAAATAAACAATTTGAATAACAGAGTTAATTTTTAAACAGGTAAGGTTCTTTTTGAAATTTTGAATGATGCCTTAGTCAAGAAGCAACAACTTTGACATAAATATGGCAAAAAAATTTAGTTTCAGGTTAGATAAATAAAGAGATTTTTGTGGACCAAACATTCGTCAAGAAACAGGATACTTGTACGATTATGAGTTCATATCCTTATTTAATAATACTAGCCACCCATTAAACAAATCAGTTGTCATTCAAGCTTTTTTTTGTTTTGATCGATATGTTATTGGGAATGACTTTAAAACAATTGGGGGTTAGCGGTTTTTCCAACGGGAAAACACTGCCAACCAGACGATGTAATTACAGCTCTAACTTAACACCAAAGTTACTGTGCCTAACAGGAAGTATAGTTTCCTGTTATAACTGAAATGAATCTATAAATTTACCTCCGTCCCTTCAAAGGAATTATAGAGTTCTGCGGACAAAAATGTGAAATAGGCTACTGTGTGTTCCTAATTGACCTGCATTGTGTTGGTATCAAAATGCATGGTAAAACTGAAATATCAAGTGACTCTAGGCAAGGGGCTGAGCTTTTATTTAAAATGTAATAATTCAAAAATCCTAAATGTAATCATACACTATTGTTGTTATTCTCCTCACCTGTACATTTGAAGCAGTCGATGTGGAAAATCATGTTTTTCACCATCAGCTCCTCCCCAAAATATCTCGTCTTACACCCAAAACAATACCTCCTCGCACAACTCGTCTTAACTGCAGACAACACACACACCCACAACTCATAGACATAATCAATCTTATCTCAGTAAATAAATCAGCACTTATCACGTAACTTGTATCCAAAAAATATTCTCTCAAAGACATCTCAAACGTTAATGCAAACTTACGTGCACGTGTGCGTGTTGGGTTATTGTGTATAAAACACAAGCACTAACCCAACACAAAAATAATAATGGATGTTGGAATCAGACTGCTGTACTGGGTTTCATACAGGTTCATACAGTATCACTGTCACAACTTATACATATCTTTCACATTAATAATAATGCAAAAATATAACTGTTTATCTTTACAAGCCAAAACACGGGCTAAGTGCACATTCATATCAAATGTTGAATTTGATCATGTTCTACCAATTAGTGATGGTTAATATGATTGATTTTTTTATTTGAACTATGCAACACTTCAATATTTTCACTGTTATTTATTATAGAATAATTCAACTTCATCATATGTTTTTCTTTTTATTAATATGTCAATCCATCTCCCTTTTCAAACCATATATAATAATTAATTGTCCATACAGACCAATAGGTAATAAATATAATATATCAATATAATATACAATATAATATAGAAAACTTTCAAATAAGGGGAGATTTTCAATAGGTATTTTTCTTAATTGACCAGTATTTTCAGATTGCGCAACTGGTTTGCAACGACAGTTGTAAAACAGTCACACCGTGTGCGCTGGGCCTAAGTGTCATGATTACCAGCTTTACATGACAAAATACACTAAATGTTTCTAGGTTACTTACCCCATTTGAGTAAAGGTACATGTGACACGCGTTGCATAATGGCATGAAAGAATATCTCGGGTGTTTAATTGCTATGTTACAAGTTGGATTGAAACATAGCACATTCATATCTTGAACCTGTAAAACAGAAGTGATGTACAGATTATTCACTGTAAACAATTCAGTTATACATTACAGTCAAAAGGCATAAGAGGCTGTAACATTAACTGGCTTAAATTACCTCTTAAAATTTCTATATAATATGTGGTACTTTGTATGTATGGAACTAGACTGCGAGAGAGAAAGATGTTGAAATCATCGAACAAATTTGCAGACACGTGAAATTTTTTTCTTAAAATAAATGAGTATGAAAAAAGAAAAGTTATTGGATAATGTATAATTTAGTCATTTTGTTACCAACAATCAATGCCGTATTTAAGGTACATGCGACCGTAGGCCAAATTACTTAAGCGGCCCCCATCCCTGTGGTTGAAATTCCCTACGATAGCTGTGAAATAATGAAAATGTCCCACGATCATCGTCACCAGCAATTGTGTATGAAATTGTGTACATCTCAACATTTTCCTTGGGCTACAATTCCGGGTAAATCATCATTGACACCCTTGATCGCGAAGAAATCGTGAACACTGCTTTCCCTAAAACAAGGGAATATCGTCATCGACACTTGCGACCATAGCGAAATCGTGAACATCTCCCTCGGGCTGCATTTACGGGGAAATCATCACCGAGACTCAGGACTGAGGCAAAATCAATTCAATATAGTGTCAATTAATAATATTCTATCCTCCTATATTTTAATACCAGCTGATTGGTTAATTATTTATTGTTTTTCTGTTGTGAGTCCGTTGTACAATTTAATGTTTTGTTTTAGTGTTTGTTATGAACACATGAAGCTATAGTTGTTACCATAGCAACCCAAATGTTTATTATGCAATGCTGTTTATTTTCTATTCTGAATTTAATACAACATTAATACAACATTTTCTATTCCGATCAGAAGGTGGGTGATGTACGGACTATTCACTGTGAACAATTCAGTTATACATTCCGGTCAAAAGACACAACAGGCTGTAACCTTAACTGGGTTAAATTGTCTCTTAATGTTTCTATATCTTTATCTGTAAAAATTTCAATTTAAGTTAATACTTGATAATCTCAATAATAAATACCTAACTAATGTATAAGAAATTAAAATATAAAATACAATATAAATACAATATCTTGTCTTACATGACTAGATACACTGTTTCTAGGTTACTTACTCTTCTACGGATGTTCGTGTTGCATTTGCTGCAAACTGGATAACGTTCCCCGTCTCCATTATCTTCTGTACAGAACTGGCCGTCTGAATCTTTGTACAACCATTTTTTGTTTGATTTTAGAAGAAAACCAATTTTCAAGAAAACCAATGTGTTGTACACATAATAGTATTAGATTATGCATAATAGTCAAGGAAGTAACTAACGACACCAGATTAACAAACATCTAGCTCAAAAGTGGACGGAAATAAATGTTATCATTTTGATAATATTTTAAAACTTATCATCACCTTCATCATCTTCCTCCTCTTCATAAAAATTCCCTTTTGGTGTCCCTGGAGTGGCAACAGCAACTTCCACTGGGAATTCTTTTGCTATAAAAATAAGTCAAATCAAATAAATAAATAAAAAATAAATATTTCTTTATTGTCACATAACGTTTTGTACATGTGCATAGCTAAATTTAGTTAAATGATTTAGTTAGCGTTTAAATGGTTACTGGGTTTTTAACATTCAAATAACGCAAGGCGTATTTTGGTGAGGGAAGAGTTAATTCATGAGCAGAACACAATCTGTCTTGGGACGCCGACAGTAGTTTGATTTTATGATGCAAGTTTGAGTGTGTGATTAGGAGAAGTTTTTGAAAGTTCAACAAAGTCTTCCCTATTTTTACACATATGAGAAGTACTACCAGAGCCAAGACACCAAATGTTGTCTTTGGGTTTACATTCTCCGGATAAAAGACAAAGTTCTTCTGTTTTGAAATATTTGTGATTGTATTTAGTTTTTGCCCAAAATGTTTCTGTTGAATGATTATTTCTCCCACATTTTTTACAGAAACCCTTTGAATTTTGATTAAAGTTTTTGTGCTTGCTGTTAAAACTTTAAGAGAAAAATTCACCGTCAGTGCTTTGTTTTTCAACTCTATCTTTAGAGTGTGAATTTACTACTACTTTTTGCCTAGCTTCAAATTCTTCAAGTATTTTAATTTTAGCTTATCAGGTTTAGGAAGAGAATCTCGTGACTCTATTGCGACTCGAAAGTTCTCAAATAATGAATTAAGACTGTACAACATCATTATGGACAAAAGATAATCATTTATGACAATGTCTAATTCTAATAATTTATCAACAGCATCAGTAAATTCATCTAAGTGATTTCTTACATTA